ATATATATATATATATATATATATGTACACTAATAAAGAGATAACCTCTGAACTTAAAAAGAGGGTGTATCTCATTGATCTCTGTTTCACGCGTGTGTGTCGAATGGTAGTGTTGTATCGGCACGCATCGTATTAGAGTGTCAAATTAACTGCCTCCAATAAGAATCGAACTTCCAACGAAATTCGCCAGTGGCCCAATTGCTTAAGCCATCGGCTCAGAAACAGCAGGAGATCCCGGGTTCGAATCTCAGTTTGAAAAATTGATTCACAGTCGCAGATTCCTCGTCTTCTTAAATAAATTAATTATACACATTGAAAGAAATGTTACACGTGAAGAGAATGATAACCCGTTACTGTCTTGCAGTAATGCTTTACACATAATTGTGAAAGGTAAAGAAGAGGAATCCGTGAGTTACGGATTCGAATCCCAAGTGAGACTCGGGCTCTACTGAAAATCCTTGGTGCATGTCTTTTGCTCCTAGAATATTTTTTTTTTAAAGCCAGGATGTTTTATATTTACGACTCTTATTAATAAGTTGTATGGTTTTTTTTTTCTTTTGTAGGGCCTAATTTATGAACAAAATAAGAAAAATAAATGTTATCATTGAATTGATTTGAATTAACCAACTGGGTTAATAATTCGATTCCGATTACAGGTAACTGATTTTCGCACTCTTTTCCACATGCGTAGAACAAGCTCTCGACAGCGAATAACAGAGATCAAATGGATAATCCCTTCTTTTAAATGATGTTTTATGTCCTTATAATTGTTAAGATGTGTAATTTTTATATAGTAATGATGTGATGTCAACATGACAATATTTATTTAGTCATGTCACATGTTTTTGAAATAAATAAAATATTATAAGACCTTACAAGATAGTGGCACTGACCATTTTATACACACCATACCAATCAGCGACGACCGAGTTACAGTAGGTTTCAGAATAAAAAAAAATATCTAGATGCCAATAAGATCATGAAAAGAATGAACCTTTTTGCTAAGCCCCGCCCATTGGATACTGTTGCTAAGGTCCCGTTACGTAAAGACGTGCTTTTTGGGACGGCGTATTCCTGGCACTTTTCTGATTGGTCAGTGGTTAAGGTTTGATTTACACTCCGAAAAGCTCCATTCACAGATCTGAATTTCACAGTTTTCAGATTATTTTTGATTACACTATCCGTAGTCAATTCCACCGAGACAGTACTGCTGAAACATTATTCAAAACATTAATGTTTTCAAGATAACGGAAGGACATGACCACAAAGAGGAAAACCGTTGACATACTTTCAACCGCACATCATGATCAATTTATCTACCGAGGAAATACCGCATCTCCTGTGTACGAGGTCTTAATTATAAGGATTGTTTTCGAATGCAGCAATCTTGCTGTCAGTTCACCGTTATAAGCTACAGTCTCAAAAACCGATTCAACACTGTTGGTATGTCTACATTACTTTTAGATTCACCGTTTTTGTTCCGTCCTTCTTAGTGCATTAATTTCTAAATAATAATTTAATTTCTGGTCCTACGTTCAGATCGTCACACGTTCAGCGGAAACCAAATAACCACACAACGAAGAAAACTTAGTTACGGTACGTTCCTATTGTATTTACATAATTTCTTTTTAAATTATTATTCATTCAAATTTCAACATAATTTTGTTATGCATCGTAATTAGTAGTAACCAGTAATAATAATTTGTTTGCAATCTAAAGCTTATCACTACAATGTATTGTTTAGTTACGTAGTGAGTAATATAATTTGCAAATAGGCGGGTGGTTGCCGAAAATGCACGGGACAAGTTTTAGTTGGATAATACCCCAACATAGATTGCGAGATGATACATTTCTTGATTAAATATAGATATTTTAAAATCCCGCTTGACTATCTTTTAGATGGATAGTAAGCGTAAAACGAAGTACTACCTTGTCTGCGACTTAGAGGCTACGTGCGTCTTTCCTCGTCAACAAGATTGGGAACCAGAAATCATTGAAATTGGTGCAATTTTGTTGGATCGACAACTCGAAAGAGTAGGCATAATTAAATAATGTTATCATGGATTGTCATCCTTATAATACATGTTAAAATTTACATATTAATTGATTAAATAAAAACCATTTATTAATCCCATTTACTACACGCCATGTCATCTATAAATCTCGATTGGTATGCGTACAGTAATAATTCAAGTTGATATAATACAAGTTTTGTTACAATTATGGTAACTCCCTGATTGTTGGGGGAACCATGAAAGAGTGAAATGTCACAACAAATTTAATTTCTTGCTTACAAATTGCGTTCAGAGGTTTTATAGAAATGAACTAGTAAAATCTCTCAATTCTATTTCTTATCACGTAAAGTAACGCAAATGTTCGCTCCTGGACCCCGCCCAGAGGCTTTTGTCATCCCCTTCCCTCCAAGTTGCTCACAAGGCTTGACCCGCTCACATTTTACCCTCTCCTTCATGCCCCATTTATAATCAATTTTTTTAATAATTGTCTCTTTTTATGTGAAGTGAAGGGGTAACACAGGGAATTTTTATTTCATCTTTGTATGAAATAGTTAAAACAGAAATATCAATACACGAATGCGATTGCCAAGCTGTTAAGAGAACAAAATTCCTAAACTGGGTGAAATGTGCGTCGATTAATATATTTCGTAATTTAACAAATTTTTTTAAACAAAATTATTATTCCTAAAGCAGATTTTAAATCTGCTTTAGGAATAATAATTTTAACGGTTTGCAAATGGTTTAGGTATTACATATCATTGAGTAATGTTGAGAACGGCATCTGCCAAGTTGTCTGATGTTCCCAGATAATCTATAAAGACTATCTGTAAAGTCCCGTTTTTGCAGTTCAAATAAGTTGTGTTAGAGGCATTGGATGAGAAATCACAAGCAGACAGCCCGCTACATTTTCAGTAAAACAAAGAATACAATTTCACAATGAACTTTCAATGTGTTATACGGTAATTTAGATTAGTGCATTCCAAAGATTTGTCTGCCCAGAAGTGAATGGAATATTGACGCCATTCTGTCGAGAGCTTACGAAAATAACCCAGGTACGTTGCATGTTAAACTTATACCATATTTTCTTCTCCATTATTTTCTTTTCATTTATGACCCAAATTTCTTCTATCCGAAACATCTATGTTTCCATATTTTTTTTCACCGATAAGCCATTTTCCTCTATTTTCTTCAATTTCATTCGCCTACAATCTCTATTACCGTAAATTCATTCGATTATTTTTTCAGTTTTTTTCTATCTCTTTTCTTATATTCACTTCCCAATTCATAATCATCGTTTTTACCAATCTCTTCTCCCACAATCTATATTAAAATCAGATTTCCTTGTCGACAAAAAGTCTTTTCTTATTCTCCTACAAACCCTCTTTCTCATCTTTCTTTTCTCTAAAACCCTTACTCCAACCATTTCTCACAAACACTTGTCCATTCTATGTTTTCACAACTCCTTTACCACTCAATTTACCTAATTCATGATTACTTTGGCCTGCTCATAAATAGGTATGAACTATCATGGTATAATAGCTGTTACACATTAGGCCTACACCATAGATACCCCTATAAACATTGACTGTGTCTTGAAACAGAGAGATGTCGACCGAGCATATTCATTTCCGGACGTGTACGACGACTTGTTGGAATGGATGAGGGACAACGGGTTAAAGCTTAAACCAGAACGGCAGAACTTTACTTTCGTCACTGATGGGTTAGTATTTTACCTAAATTTAAATTTCCGTAGTGGAGGTTGTAAGGATTTTTTTTAATGGATGTTTAGTCCAGAATCTTCCAAACACTTTCGAATTTCAACAATTATTTGTCATAGATGGTTGCTTCGGCCCATATCAACAGATTTGTTTGTATAACTCAGTAACTATTAGTAATAAAAGGTTATATATAACAGGAAATGCCGTACAGTACATGACCTCTGAACCTATTGCAATATATTTCCATATCTTCGTAAATTGTAATTTTAACAATTTTAATTACTAATAGTGTTATTACTATTAATAATTATTTATTTATAATTTTATACTGTAGTAATACTAATATTGATAAATATGTTTTATTATATTCGTAGCATAATATGTATTAGGGAGGTGACTTACTTGTTTACTTCATTATGAATAATAAAATTTATAAATATAATAACATTTTATTATTATTATATCATTATATTATATAATCATATTAATAATAATAATAGTAATAATAATAATAATTATAATAATAATAATTATAATAATAATAAAAATAATTATTATTATTATTACTGTATATTCTTGAAAATGCCCTCAGAGGCAAGTGTATGGCGCTACACAAAAATATTTTATTATTATTATTATTAACATTATTATTATTTCATTTATTATTACTGTATTATATTATCGTAATAATAATATCATTGTCATTATTATCAGCATTATCATTATTATTTGCCATCTTACTAGTATCTTCGACTGCAACCAGTACATACGAAATCAGTGCAAGCTCTCCAAGCTCAAGTTTCCAAAATGGGCGAAAAGTTTCAGTAACATCAAAAAACATTTCAACTATGTTCTACCGCATATGAAGAGGACCGATAGGAGATCAAATAGCATCACGGACATGATGGAAAAACTTAGTATGAACACTACTGTATTTATAATACAATATTTGTAAAAATCTTCCTCTTCTTCTTATCGTTTCCACTATGTGGGCCGTAACGAGGACACTTCTACCATGACCCCTTAGTAAAACAAAAGTAACAAGATAATCTGAGATTACAAACCCTCACACCCTGCTGTCGCGTCATATCCTTGTATCCGCTGGTTGTTGTTGTATTATAGGTGTATAGTATTACTGGCTATAATATGTATCAGGTGAAATGTGCCCGAGCAGTAAAGACACGCGTTTTGTGTGTCAAGATAATTGAACGTATGGGGTTCAAATCTTACTCTTGCTTGTTTTTTTTAAAATAATTTTTTAATTTTTATTTTGTGCATATATATTAAAAATTAAGATATAATGAAATAATAATAATAATACTACTAATAAAAATAATTTTTGAATGCTCCAGTATCTGTATTTAACTTTTAAAAAAAATAATAACAATAATAATAATAATAATAATAATAATAATAATAATAATAATAATAATAATAATAATAATAATAATGAAAATGATAACATAATCGAACGTATGGGGTTCAAATCTCACTCTTTTTATTATTATTATTATTATTATTATTATTATTTTATTATTATTTTATTTTATTATTATTTGTGCATCTTATCTTTCATATATGTTTAATATATAACAAAAACAACAAAATAATTATAAAAAAAAAACGAGAGTGAGATTTGAACCCTATAATATATAAATATTGCAAGACGATGGGTGCTATTGGCCACACTCATTGATCTCCTAGGATTGTGTGGTAGCCTCTAGATGGCTAGGAGGTGTAGGCCTACCTTTTTAGGCCATTTAGAATCTATATATGATGTATATGGGCCCTAAAACAAATTGACTGCTTTAGATTCGGGGAAGGGTGAAATATATTGCCCTCGTTGATGTGGAGACCGTAGCCTATCTTCCCGAGCCCGAGGAAAGATAGGCTACGGTATCCACATCACCGAGAGACACATTTCACTATTCCCCTCATGAGCAGTTAATATTTGTATACTACATTACATTGTATTTTATTCATTTATTGAGTAGGCCTAATGTTTGGTTGATTGATACTGAAAACGATGATGAGATGATCATGAGGATAAGGATGATGATGATGACGATAATAATAATGACGATGATGATAATGGAGATAACGATGGATATCGGATGGTACGGATGCTAATGATGATGCTATTAATGTAAGTATGATAATGCTAATGATATAAGCCTAATTATATATTCCAGAGATTCCAATGGATGGTCAGTTGCACCGGGCTATTGATGACGCGAAGCAGGTGGTGAAGATAATGAAAGGTCTTCGAGAACTCCGACCTAATTTCGAATTTACAGACAATGAAACAATTAAGCCTTATTGGAGTATGAGATTCTTCGACTAAACGCCTATGCCTAATGAATCACATTTCCACTTCAATCATTATTACTGAACGAATATTAGCCTGAATTGTTGGAAATTCGATTCTAAGCTTTTTATGGTTATAAAAAAGATATAGTTTGACATTTAGTTTAATTGGACTTTTTAACGTATAGTACAGAGCCCCTATGAGATGTTTTCGATGTAACGAAATAATTTCGTTCCCTCAACATAATATTTTATAATAATAACGAAATATTATCAACGGAATGGTTATTATTGTTTTAAACCACTGTTACGTGCCGTATGTAATGTATCGGGTGCTCTGAAGTGTGACGAAACGTTCTGGGGATGTAAACAGACGATGGACCCGGGCTGTCTAAAAGACATTATTAAATTACCCAAAATCTCGTTGTTTCACTCCTTACCTTCCCTAGCTTTTACATTTTCCCTTTTACAGTAATTTTATCAGTCTGTAAAAAAGGGCAATATCCCGGCCGTTATAATCAGAAATTGGGTAATTAACCGTTTTCATCGCTAATTGATCGGTATTTTTACAATCTACATAGATGTTTTACACTGTTACTGTAAGGTATATGGAATGAAACGGATTGGTATAATCATTTCGGTAACGTCTCACTATGAACCTTTCCGATAAACCGCGTCCCCTGGATATGGTTACTAAGGTCCCCACAAAGTGACAGTGTAAAAACATATGCAAAAAAAGTGCGTTTATATCACTGATCTTTATTGAGCTGCATTGCTAATCGGCCAAAAATTGTACAAAAAAGTGAAGTCACTGACGCCATATGCAACAACACAAGTGATACCAGTCCAGACCAGTTGTTTTTTTCTTTTTCTTTTTAAATTATTGTTTAAAATATCTATCCTCTAAACACTCAACGCTCAAGCAATGTCGTGCTGTGTTTTAGTCAATGAGATCAGTGGTTTGTGGGAGATGCAATGAATTAACATTTTCTTTTTGTAGAAGAATTATTGAAGACTGGAATTCCATTTCTTGGATAAATCTAATAACCTTTGTATGCCGTTCATTATCATATTGTTAAAACTAAATTTGAACATTAAAAAAATAAGGAAGCTATCTGTGCTCCTTTTTCAAAGTATTGAAAAGCCATGCTCTTCAGTGTACTTTGCTATCATTTTTAATGTCCGACTCACAGAAACTATAGATGCAATGAATTAAATTTTCCTTTTTTAGAAGAATTATTGAAGACTGGAATTTCATTTCTATTGATGATAGGAACCACAGAAACTCTACATCATTTTAAACTTTTATTGAAACAATAATATAATCTTCCACGTTTCCCCGATCTCTGTCCTGTTATGTTTGCTTCAGTTTTACAATGCATATTTATTTATTTATTATTGCCTTAGTATTGTGATTTATCTTCTAATTTCATTCCTTATATTATTTTCTCTTTTTCGCTTGGTATAGTGTTTCTTTTTTTTTTTAGTTAGGCCTACCTCGTTAATTTTAAATAAAACTAAAAAAAAAAAAAATTATAAAAATATAAAAATATATAAAATAAGTTAACATAAATGACCTTGCACTTGCTAAAAACGTATTTAAATTGATTAAAAGGTGCAGTAAACCGTAAAGATAATTTTGGATCTGACATTTCCAAAAAAAAAAAAAAAATAAATTATAGAGAGGGGTTAACACATTTTTAAAATATGGCACCCTGACAGTGGCGTCTCTAGTTTAGGCATTATTTTAAATCATGTGAATAAGACAAATGTATACGTCATTGCGAAATGAATTTATCAAAATTTGATTGCTAGTCGTGCCAAAAATAGATGAATTGAGTTTCTTATTTCCCCTTGAAGAAAATAAAGTGGAAGGAACACGAATACATAATAAAATGAATAATAGACACTGTCTATATTTACACATCATGCAGGGTATTGTGAAATATTAACAATATGCAATTTAATTTTGCGAATACACAGGATTTCCATTATTTGGAAATAGGCCTACAAATTTGAATACCGTAGCGTTTCGAATAACATAGAGATGGTACAATTTTAATTTCACATACTTGCCAAATTCAGCCTGAAGCAATAAATTAATTGTCAAACATTCCTTGTGCTTTGAACAATGACTTGTTAAAAGTTGTTTAATTAATGCTGTGTTTGCTTCTGCTAAGCCTTACACCGATTACACTTTAATTTAAGTCAATTATGGCAGACAGTCCATGTACTGTAGGTAAATTTCCATGGACAGATCTACCTAATAAAGCACTAAGATTCAATGGCGATCCAGGTTTTGTTTTGTGAAAGGATGGAGAAGCGCAATGTTAGAATGCGGCTAGTTTTACCAAGGACTTTTAACTGTTACCAGGATAGGAAGCTGGCTGGTTTAAGCCATCTAACTTGAATTAGCGTATCGGCTAGGCGTACAGCAGCTAGGCCTAGCTTATCTTATTTTTGTTTGTTCAAGGTAATTCAACAAAAGGACGCACATCTCCGCTCTCGAACATAGCGCGTGCGTACAGTCCTTTGATCTTTACTGTGGCATCGACAATCCGGTACTAGTTGCGAGTACAGCCGTCAATTATTATTAGTCTATGCGTGCCATTCGTTTTATGGTGTTAGTATTTATTTTATTAATTTTGGGTACTTCGCAATGTCTGTTACATCTGATTTTTTTGACCGCGAGTTTGTTAAATGCTTCTATAAACTGCAATTTGATTTGTGAAAATTGACCAAGAAAATGAAATGTTATAGCAATTTAAATTTTAAGAATTTTATAAAATTTCATGTTCTTATGTAATATTAATCTGTCATTTTGACAATGTTGGCATAAGGTGCCGAAAACGAACATTTGAGTATACACAGGACATTTATTAATTTTTACTGCGAAGTGAGTCTCATGAACGACAATTCACCAAAATTTTGGTAAAATTAATGTTGAAATGAAGAAATATTTCAGCCTAATGTTAGTGCAAAATATCATTAGCCTTTGTAATCACCGCACGACGCGCGATTATCATGGCAACTAACACGCGCGTGGGTTAATCGTCACATACGGTGACGGTTTATGGTCTGGTTGCTTTGGTTTTTGTGACGTTAGGCGTGTAGGGACGCACGTGCGCCTAGAATGTCGATGCCAGAGTTATAACCTTTGATGTCCCGAGATGTGCGTCCTTCTGATGAATTGCCTTGTTTAGACATGCCCTAGGCCGGGTCTAGGCTAGCCTAATCACATCAATTTAAAATCGAATTTGTAGACATACCTGCCTTATATCTTAACTTGCAGTTTTTATTGGTAGACTAGTTTGTTTTTAAGTGTTTAAGTATGATTGACTTGCATGCCAAGTGAAATTAGTTCCCTTATTTTGCTTTGTTTACCGTACCGTAATTCTCGGCTAGGTCTAGCTGTACGCCTAGCCGATACGCAGTGTGGTGATGGTGTGGCTAAGGAAAGTTTTGTTTCTGAGCATGTGCAGATTGTGCTTATCTGGCTCATTTGCACAAAAATACCGCACAAAAAGGCTAATTCAAGTTAGAAACCAGCCAGCTTGATCCTATCCTGGTAACAGTTAAAGTTCATTGGTTTTATAGGGATTCAGAAGCCATACTGTGGAAACTTTTTTTTTTATGATGATGATGATGATGATGATGATGATGGTGATTATGATGACGATGATGACGTTGATGCTGATGAGAGATGATTATGATGAGAGGAAGATAACTGTAACGGCGATGATGGCGATGTCGGTGATAATGGTGGTGATGTTGACGACGATGATACGGATGATAATAATAATGATGATGGTGTCGAGGACTATAAGGACGACGATTATGATGATGATAGCAATGATGTTGACATAGGTGGTGGCATGGTTTAAATTTTGGAGACACTAGTGTAGACTAAAGTTAGTCTAACCTGGAATAACAGGGAACGGGCCCCCGACCAAGGTACAGGGACAAAACAATCAGCAGTTTGTATTTTGTGAGGATTTCTGTATTTCGTATTTAATAGTAGGCCTAAAATTTCCGAGAGCAAAGCGATCCCCAGATGGAGGTCTAGCGACTGACCTGACTCATTTTGTAGCGTATAATCAATGACATATTTAATCTAGTTATCGTTAAAACTCGAATTTTCCAATTCCAATAATTTTTATTCCAATATCAAACAATAAAATTATCAGCAATAGAAATACAAAGGTGGTAGATAAAGGAATAGGTTACAAAATATTCATCAGTTAAATTATTCCAAATTGTTGCCCCTTGATAAGATATAGATTGTTGCCCTACGATTGTGCGTTTTTTTTTAGGGCATACTTATGTTAGTTCGATTTCTAGTGCTATAGTTATGGAATGATTCAAATGTCTTAATAGGTTTTTAAATGATACAAGCAGTTTTAATATTGATACATAAATATGGCACAATTTTTTAAGTAAAGATCAAAAATATTTAATGTTTGAGTAACAATAAACAAAGGATGTGAAGGATGCAAGCGGTCAACATGACAGATATTTCTTAATGCCTTTTTTTGGAGTATGTACAAACGATTTAAATTGCTAGCAGACGTGGTATCCCATGATGTAATTGCATAAGTTAATCTAGGAAGTATAAGTGCATTGTATATTGTTAACATTATTTTACTTGATAATATTGGTTTTACCTTATTAAGAACACCAATGACCCTTGAAACATTCGTTGCAATTTCATTTATATGATAATTAAATGTCAGAGCTTCATGCAAAAAAAAAAGGCCTAAGAATTTGACTTCGGTTGCTCTTGCAATTGTTTCATTTCCAATTCTTAAATTTACGTTAACAGTGTTAACCACTTTATTTCTAGCTTTAAAAACAATGTATTTTGATTTGTTTATATTTAGCGTAAGCTTATTAACAGTAAACCAATTATAAAGTATCGATAATTCCTGGTTCATAACATATGCTTGTTGCACATTACTATGATTATAAAACATATTTGTATCATCAGCATGCATTATCATATCAATGTGTTTACAAGCAAGGTTAATATCATTGATAAATATTAAAAACAATAGGGGTCCCAATATGGATCCTTGAGGAACTCCAGTATTGATAACTTTTTTATTTGAGACTTCATTACCAACAGATGTATATTGCTGTCTATTTATTAAGTAATCTGAAAACCATTTTAGTGGGATTCCTCTTATACCATAGAACCTCATCTTATTTAACAAAATATCATGATCGATGGTATCAAACGCCTTTGATAAGTCTAGAAAAACGCATAGTAACCTCTTTATTGTCAATAGCATTAGTAATCTTTTCAATGGATTGGAGTAAGGCATGGCTAGTTGAATGATTTTGTCTAAACCCATACTGTGCTGAGCATAGGGTATTAAATTTCGAGAGATAACAAAGTGTTTGATCATAAACAATTCGCTCAAATATTTTATAGAAAAATGGTAAAATGGAAATTGGCCTATAATTATTTATATCGCTAGTATCTCCATTTTTGAATACTGGGATGCCTTTTGCAATCAAGACCAATTGGAATACATCCAGATGATAAAGAGGTATTAATAATATGTGTTAGAGGTTTTGATATTACTGGGGAAGCTGCTTTCATAATTTTAGCACTAATATCATCTTGGCCAAGAGTTGTGTTCTTAGTATTTTTGATATAAACGCCAGTTTCATATTCAGTGATTGGCTTAAAAAACATTGAGGATGTATAATTTCCCTTTAAAAGTTGACGGTATGAATTATTTGGAATGTTTTGGTTATCAAATTTTGCTTTTAGTTTTTGTCCAATATCAACAAAAAGGGAATTAAATGCTTGGGCTTTATCTTTATTGTTAGACAACACATCTGTACCCGATGTCATTTCAGAAGGTAAATTGGTACTCTTTTTTCTACCCATTACTTCGTTCAATATTGTCCATGTTTTTTTCATGTTATTTCTATTTTGTTCAAGTACGTTAGAATAATATTCTTTTTTACGATTGTGGTTAATTTGTTTCTATATTTAGTATATATCTTTTTATTTTCAGGGCTTTTTGTTTGTTTTTACCTCTTAAATAAACTATTTTTATGAGTAAAGCCTTTGCTATTTCCTCTGTAATCCAAGGGGATTGTAGTTTATTTGCTTTATTTCGCAATCTTTTTATAGGAAAGAATCTTTCAATTGCATTATTTAAAATATTGATAAATATTTGATATATGTCATTTGCATCATTTCCGTTTAAAACATCATTCCATTGGTTATTTTGTAGCTCTTAGGGGAATATTCACGTTTATATATATATATCGAGAGAAGTTTTTGTTATACTTTTCCATTGTATCCACACAAAATATGGGAAAATGGTCCGATATATCAGTGATAAGAATTCCACTTTCAAGGACATTGTACAATAGTCGATATTACAATAAATATTGTCAATTATAGAAGCGCAATTATCCGATATTCTAGTGGGACTGCATATTATAGGCTGAAATGAATTAGAAAGTAAAGTATCTATGTGTGACTGGACAGTGTTATCAGAAGATTGGTGAAGTAGATTTATGTTATAGTCTCCAGTTAGGTAACATTTTTTTCTTTCTAAATTTATTACTTGCATTACGTTTGATAATTCTTCATTAAATTTATGCAAGCAGTTTGAAGGGGGCCTATAAAGTATACCACATATAACTTGATGTCCCGAT